TGCTGCTGTGCAGATCACCAGCCTGAGGCCTGTGGCCTCTCATGTACCTGCACACACCACAGCTGGACTGAAATGAAAAAGAAGTTTGCACCTTTCCAGAAAGCCTGGGCATCATCAGCTACATGAAGAGCAAGACAAAGGTCGCATAACAACAGATGGGCTTGGCAGGCTCCTGCAATCATACACAGTGGTCTCAGTAACATGGGTTTTCAGTTCTGGGCCACTCATTACAGGAAAGACACTGAGGTGCTGGAGTGCATCCAGAGACAGGCAACAAAGTTGGTGAAGGGCCTGGAGCACAAGTCTTAGGAGGAACTGCTGAGGGAACTGGGGTTGTTTGGACTGGAGAAGAGAAGGCTCAGGTGGACCTAAACACTCACATACCTATCCACAGATCAGGGAATCTGCTCAGACCACTTATTTTTACTACCAACACGCTTTAGATAGATGAGCAGGGAATACTGATTGCTCTGGTAGCACTTACCTGTGGATATTACTCCTCTGTATATTAGGAGAGGTCATCACAGTTTGTTTTGTCTGTATTTTAATAGTGACCAAGATAAAGATATATTTTGGTGAGATCACTTTCTGTACTTTTACTTGTTTTGCCCTTCAGGCCAATTTAGGTACATTTAAGGGTACAGATTATTTCAGAGCAACAAGCAGTGCTTACCTGAGTTTAATCCATAATTAGTAGTCAGTTTTTTTCTGTAAAGGGGGTTGCTTGCTGCCCACTTTTGCAAGGGATTCCTAGCCTCAACATCACTGCTGTAGTCTTCCCATAGAACTGCGGGATTATAGTAGGGACAGTTCCAAAAGCACATTTGCAAAACGAAACGGCTGAAATAGGTCAGTGTGATGCTCCATTTGCTGTTTAAATCCTAGATAAAGCGCTAGAGTTTCAATCCCAAGCTCCACAGAGCGAGTCAGGGGCAGGAACCAAAGGCAACACAAACATGCCACCCCCAAAACAAAGCGAGAGCCTCTCAGCTAAGCCCCATCAGAATTTACTGCCACACATCACTGAGGTCTGTTGCTTGCTCTCATGAGCATCAGGGGTTGGGGGTTTTGGCTTCTAATGGCAAAAACTGAAAGAGTAAAAGCAAAGGGAAAAGGTAGAAAAGATTCAGAGAGGTAATAAACATGTAGTAATTAGTGGGAAAGAAAAGAGCCCATGAAACAGTCAGCTCAACCCGGGTAAGGAAAGGAAAGGAACACATGCTGTAAATGGAGTATTTGCGGGGGTGGGAAGTGCAGAACTAACTTTACTATATATTTTTCAACTAACAGGTACTTAAAACAAGCAAGAATGGAAGGCTCATCTGTACTACAGCAGGAACGCTTGCTGAGCACTGTCCTCTGCACTGGAGCTCTGAAACACAAGGAGAAAGCTGAGAAGGACTGAATCAGCCCAAGAAGCCAGCTCAGAAACAAGTTTTTAGACACCTGCTGGAATGTTAATATTTCATTTGTCAGGCATACTAAACTACTCATAAATCAAATATAGTACTCATACAGTTATAAACTACTCATAAATCAATCAAAAGTACCTTTTGAGCAGGTTGAGAAGAAACAGACAAGGCAGAAAGGTTCAGTGCTGTGGAGGACTGAGTCACAGCTTGACGCCACAATGGCATCAGTTGCTTGGCCAGCCCAAGTGTTTAATCCTGTTTTTAAAGAGGGCAGAGCAAGAAAGTTTAGCATAGTTCTTCACAACTACCCAGTCCTAATGCACAAAACAGATGGATTTGAGATACTGTACATTCAAAACAGATAACTGGACAACAGATACAAGAGGGAGCAGGGAACTTGAATGGGTGCAGGACTAGAAAGATCTTCAAAGTAGGCAGTCCCAAATTTCCACTGCGCTATGGGAAAGCATCTATGAAGTCTAATTCCGTTCACAACAGATGACTTTCCTGAGGCTGCCTCTATACCCAGAGGAGAGAAGCTTGTCCAGAGCTCTGGTCAGAGCATTAGCCTAGACAGATGCTCTCAATCACCTCTTTCCCTATCCAGGGGCCCTTGAAAGTGTCCTCCTAGTCTGTAAGGCACATGAAATAGACGTTACAGATTAACCTCAGATGCTCCTTCTCCATTACAGTAAAAAGGGGATTCAACAGAACAGGTGAACAAGACACTTAACCGTTTGCAATAAAGACATGCAAGATGCAAACATAAGCCCAAATATGGCTGAAAAAAAGGACTTCGTTTTCTCGGTAGCACCAGGGAACTTTCTCAGTAGCTCAGTTCCTCAGTAGGTCTGTTCCTCAGAAGCATACGTTGAAAATGGTTGGGCTACAAATAAACATCAGCAGATCAAAGTGAGATCACAGAGAAGCACCATCAACAGTCCTCATGAGAATAGCCTGTTGGTGCTCGAACAGTTTTGTTTAAAAGGCACAGGATTAAGCCATGCGATGGAGAGCCCTCCCGCTTCACTCACTGCCTGCTTCAAACTCGCTGACTACAAAACGTTCCAGGAATCACCTCAGTGGCCTCCACCAGCAGTGCTGATGCACAGCCTCTGCATGCCAGCTTTCGTCCAGGAAAAATATAACCATGTGATGGTCTCAAGTTAGCTGATCAGCTGGAATGGGAATAGTAAACAGGCAATTCCTGTTACATACACAGCATCCATAGCACACACCAAACTCTCTTCTCTGTGAAGCACCCACAACTGTTTGTGGGTTTTCAAGATACGGGCTCCTGGTTCCTCAAGCTCTGCAGGTCTGCCACTGTTTGACCCCTGGGAACAACTGGATTGGTTGTTCACTGCTTCAGCCAGTCTGTTCTCCCAAGCTGTTCTGGTGTGGAGAGGAGCAAAACAACCCCATGAAACATTACTGCACCTCTTTTTAAAAGATAACCAACCCTTAATGACTGCAAGTGGCAGATCCTACACTCCTAGCTAGCTGGATTCAACCACAGAGGGCAGGCAGAAGTCACACATGGCACACAGGCTGTCCCCAGGACACATGGATGGGAACTGAAAGGAATTCCGAACAGCCAAGTAAAACTCTGCTTGCATTCCGTATGGTATTACTAGGCTTGGTAACTGCTGTGATACATTAGTTACCTGAAAACGGACAGAGTTCAGGTCATTTAGTAAACCAGTACTTCTATACATGCTTGCTCTTTTTTTTAGGGCATGTGAAGTCCTCTGAAGGTTAAACAACCAACCAACCAAGGCCACAAAACCAAGCAGACACCTAGATACAGCTTCCTCTCTGTTTTATTTGGCAAAGTAGCAATTCAGACAGTTCACACAGCATTTATTCAAACTTCAAATCTTCTGCATTTCAGTTTGTCCTCCAAGTTTTTACTTCAGAACCATTGCTCCATCATGAAGGGGCTTTCATTCTTCAATTCCTATGTGTTACTCCTGGATAATCCTTTTCTGTCCAAGTACCTCGACTATCAGCATCCCCTTCAGTGGAAGGGCCGCACTAATCCCAACAGCCTTGGTCCCTGAAGTGGTTCTCCCCCAAGAAGCTGTTGCCGGGTCTCAGCTGTATCACCTCTTCCAAGGTAGGCTAGCTTATCACACTGCGTCCAGAGACAAGAATTTGGATACAGTTGAGCTCATATCTTTCATTTAACTGATTAAATTAGTGAGGAGATGTAAATAAAGCTGAACTCAAACTGACTGATACAGTGACCAAAAGGTTGAACATTAGCATGCATCATTTAAGATATTTCACTTCAACACCAAGAACTAGATTCACAGTTGATTGTGGGTTAGTACAAATTTGTCAGACGCAAGTGGGGTTTTCTGAATTGAATTGTATTGTCTAGAATACACGCTATACTAATTCCTTTGCAAGATTAACCTCGTGCACGTGCTCCCAGGCTGCCGTTGGGTCAGGAGGTGGTACATTAACTTCCCAACATCTAAATAAATTAAGCAATACATATCTTTTACACAGGAATAGGATGGGATCTGCCTTCAAAACGAAGGTTATTTAAAATGTTCCTCTTTCATATTCACAGGCCTTTGAATTTCAAACTTTTATGTTTTCAGGGATTAATTCTGTCACAAAATCATTGCTGTTCTACCATAAAAACTCAATATATTTTTTCAGTGATCACTATGGGTTCTTTTATGCAAGTTATTTTAGTCTATAATCCTTTCTACCATTAAAAAAGAAAAGAAAATAATGATAACATGCTGTTTACTTTAATTCCTGGTTGCTCAAATCTGAGAAGATGACTCAAGATCCACTTCCCCCTTTACCAAAGCAGCCCACCTTATGGTACTGCTTTGCCATTTGCTGTCGACAGTTACAGCACTGAAACAGAAAACTTGAGGCAGAAAAAAAAAAGGTTTATAGCCTTACAAAAGTGAACAATTGCCTCTCTGTCTGTACTTACGAGTCCAGGATTCATTGTTCCTCCTGTACGTATCATGGTTTCCTTGTATGGCAATTAAAATTCATCTTCTAAAAAGCCAGAATTTTTCCTGGGTGCCCACAGTTAGAAAAATGAGAACATTAACAGAGCAAATGGCTTTGCCAAAAGCAACTTTCTTTTAGAACCAAACTGGAGCTGGTTTGGTTTTTTAATAAAGAATCTAGCAAACCCTATCTCAGTATTCTGCTACATACTGATCCTAGTCTTCCACACAAGCACACAACCCTCCTCCTGCTTTTAGCTTTATTTGGCAAAGCAGCATTGCGTAAACTGTTCAGTGATTGGGACACAGCTTACATCATATCTACAGTGTTAAGTCCATGTGTATCTCACCAGTAGTGAGCTATAAACCAAAACAGAATTTCAAGGCTCCACTGATTAATTTTAGAAGGATTACAACACACCTGTTGTGTCCAACTTGAACAGGCATGTTTGATAAGAGTGGCCACCCACCTCTGATGTTCTGAAGTTTAATATACATACAAATGCCTGGTTTTAAGGTAATAAAGCAGCTGATTGTATCTACTACATGCTAGTCTATGACACCATGTCAAAAGCTTAAAAAGGAAGTTCATCTCCTTTTAATAGCATCTAGCAGACATTGGAAGACAGAAAACCTGGTATTGCCTACGTAGTGTTGTAAGGTGCACAGAAGCAGTTTTATCAAGGGACACAGGAGCCAAGAAAAGTGAGTGTTCAAGTACCCCCTTCAAAATTAGAGTTCACAAGCAGTAGGTCTTGATCTGCAGTTCTGCAGAAATTCACTTTGAACAGATGAAAGTAAAATAAAGGCATGTTAAATAAAACAGTGCCCAGTAAAACTTTCTGCCATTTCTTTGTCAGATTTGCCTTGAGCAGCTAAAAAAATAAAACAAACACCACGCTTTTCCATGCTGATAACAGTAGAATGAAGTCCAAAACAAGCTGCAATGCTGTTGGTTTTCAAAAAGCTTTTAGAACTGGAGATGAGCAGTCCACTGTAACACTATGTTTGGGTCAAGATGATGTAGCTTTTACAATTCATCCCTGTAGAAAGAAAATACAGGCAGTTATGTTTCTCCTCCCCTTGGAAATCATATTTGAAAAGTTCTGATATTGAATCAGGTCACATTTAAGTGCTCATGCACATCAGCAAAACTTCAGAAATCTCTTCAAGCATTCAAAAGAAAAAACAAGAACAACTCAAAACCCAAAGGAAAGGCAACAGCAATCCCATATCATCTCATACTGTTATGTGATGTATCGTGAAATATGGGTCCCTTTATTTTACACTGAATGGATCCTTTGCTTTGATGAATGTTCCCCACACCATACAGCTATATACACAGCTACCGGTCATCCACACTGTTGGCTCCATGCTGACGAGAAACTGATCCAACTTACTAGTCAGAGTATTGGCAAAAAACATTATTTGCAGCTGCCAAAAAGAGGACTTTTGCTTCAGCTGCAGTCTCTCAAGAAAGCTAGGAACGCAATCTCACATCACCATTGTGCAGTTTGTACCACCTACGTCATTTACTTCACAGAGGAGCTTGAATAGCTCCCAGTGGAGCTACACTAAATCAGGAGTAGGTTATGGAAAGGGTGGAGGCAGCACGTGCATGTGTTAAAAGGAGACTCAGGTAGAGAAAGGGTGCATCAATAAGTCTCTAAATCATGAGGAATCTACAAAAAGCAGGGACATGTAAAACACACAAATAGGAAACCCATATTTCAAAAGTGAAAGTATCATATATTTCTGAAGGATGGACTTTAATGCAAAATGTCCATAGAATCTGAAAGCTGTGCACTGGGCCACTATGAATGTTGGAAAACTCAAATCATAAGTGTTTGCTCCCCCCCGCCCCTTTCACAAGGCACAAGTGATCTATAAACTCCCAATGAGTTTGCTGCAATTTTTCTTCTAATAGGTACATTATCCTCATTATCCAAAGCAGCGTCTGAATTAGGAAAAACTTCATTAATGTGATTGCTGGCTCAATAATCGTAGTATTTCCAGCTGTCATGCAAACTAACCCACAAGCATATAGTGCTACATGCACACAGGCAAAAGCTTTAAAGTTACAAAGGCATTATCCTTCAAGAATCATATCATATAGCATGGAACAAGAGCATGCAAAACATTTTAGAAGCAACTGAAAAGGCTATTGCAACTAGTGCTTAAATGACTAGCTCTCTATCGAATGCAGCTGGGAGGCAAACCTTGTGATTTGTTAGTGATAAATATTTGCATTCTTTGCACTTTGCACTGCCTTCTAATAGGGAATACTATTCACACATCTTCAGACTGTTCCAGTAATTACAGAAAGCAGAGATAAAGCAGAAGAGGGAAGAACACATCTTGGCAGGGGTAAATAAAAATCTGTTTATAACCAAAGGTTTGGAATCTCTCCATATCTGCCTATTTCACAGAATGGGTATTTGCTTACTTTAAACAGATAAAAATAAATTAACATTTGATACTCAGTTTAAAATGCATTGCCAATGAAATGAGGACAAGTACTCCATTCATCCTTAATGCTTTCAGGAGCTGCACCATCAGTTAAATATTTACAACTTCAAAAAGCATGGGTAAGTAATGACTGCTACTATGGCTGGTTTATTCTCAGACGCCTAATTGCTGATGTGATTTGCATCCTTACTCCCATCATATACCCTCATACCTTTGTAAAAGCCTGACCTTTTACTGTGAAAAATAATTCTTAAGCCTTTAAACCCAAGCTAGATCCTCAAGAAATTGTAAGCCCAAGAAAAATACCATACTTACTCTGAAACTATTAAACATGATAATTTTACCCATTCACAGGCACTGGTAAGGTTTTTGCATAACACTGCTAATGCACTTCATGACTTTGAAGTGGTTTGTTTTTTTATCTTTTACAAAATTGTATGTAGAATCCAAATAAGTGATACCAACATGCCACTGTTTTAACTGTTGGTAGCTCGCATTGCTTTAAGCTATTCCTGACAACATAATAATGTTCCTGTAAGTTATGTATATCCTAGATACCACTTGCAAAATAAAGGTTTTCATATTCTCCTTATTAGAACATTTACTGTATTCAGGGGATCAGCTTCCCTCAAGAGATTTTTCACATGCTTTTCACTATTCATTAATCTAAAAGCAGCACAACAGCCCAAAACAACCCAGGATGTAGGTGTTAAAATTACACAGCATTTATTTTCTACTGTTACAAGACACTGAGCTTATATCTGCACTACTGGAATGTATATATTAGAAAACACAGAAAAGTCTTGGATCATCAGGTAGGCAACATTTCTCAGCTTCTCACTAATGTGAACAGCTTACAGACTTAAACACATATTGCAGAGTAGTTGACTTGAACTTCAGCTGTATGGATCACAAGCTACCAAGCTATGAAATCTACCAGGTTACAATCACTGGTAAAAAACAGTATACTTGCCTCTCCTCCCAGCAGTAAAAGATCTGTCCTAACAGAAAACTTAGAAGGAGACTCACAAGACAGCTGTTTCCCTGTTAATAATATTCTGCTGTCCCCTACAGCCATAGCAAAGATAGACTAATTTGTATCTTTCTGCCTTTCTCTGGCCACAGCTAGTTCCTGTGATTCTTACACAGTTCACTTATTTCCCTCCACCTTCATATATGTACTCCTTCCGATCTGCTTACTAGCTCCTGCTTAGTAAGCAATACATAGGTGTTAAGTCATCACAATAGACCTTCTCAGGTCCCTGGAATTCTAACAAGAGAATCACTTATCTAATATTGTCAATTGAGGCATCAAAGCAATTTTATAAGCTTAAGTTAAAGCAAATCTCAGAAGTCATTAGCTCAAGCTTAGTATTCTAAAAATAAATTTAAGAAACTTTGAAAAACATTGGCTGATAGGGAAAACATATACACAAATATTCCACACTTCCCATTGGGAGTATCCAACAATAAACTACGAAGCAGTCTCAGAAAAATCTAATGGGGAGAGTTTCAGATAAATAAAAACCCCCACAAAACACGAAAGAATCACAACCCTTAGCAACACTAAAAAAATAACAGAAGTTTGGGATACACATAAGTCAGGAGTTTTGTGATCCGTCTCTTCCACTTTGGTGGAGAGCATTCAAATTAGATATTTAAACAAGCATTTATAAATTTATCTGAAATCTGTAACTCACTCTTTTTTATCCACTTCAATTTTCTTGTCATTAGGCAGCATCTGACTTTCCCTTTTGGATACATCACTCATCTATGAAAAATATGCTGTCATTACTGATACTATATTTCTAATTCATATGAGGCTACACTCCATTTCAGGAGCTATTCAGTGTTTCAGCAGCTAATTTTTGATCCCTTTGTAATTTTAAAGGTAACTGAACGCAATATTTAGACTTGTAGCATTTTAATCTGAAAAAGTGCTGTTATAAAGTATTTATTATTTGCTATGATCAATCATCAAATTGAGAGAGTAGATTGAAATGACAAAAGGAATCTTCTCTGCAACCTATTCTGTCAGTTACATCACATGCATTTGTACATTATGCATAAACTCTAAATTTAACCCAAAATATTACTGTGCAGAGATTCTTTTTGCCAAAGTAAAATAAAAGCTTTAATCATAATCATTACTCTAAGGAATTTGAGGCAAACAATTCTTGCTCATTTTAACTGAAATTAGACAACTAGCTCATTAGGGACGTTCAAAACACTGAATAAGTTTCTAAGCAGAAATGTATTTAAATATTTCTTAATAGTTTTTCCAAAAGGGTGCTTAATCATGTTGTATGTATAGATAAGTGGGATACAGTAACAGCCCCAGTCTAGTCTTTGCAGTTTTTGCTGAAAGGTTAATACTGATATTTTTTATTTTATCAGCAAATACGAATTTAGCATGACATTTACAAATAATTCCTACTAATGCAATATTCTAAGTTTAAAAAAGCAGTCTGATAACATTTTTAAACAGCTGTTTGAAAATATCAAGAATTGCAACACAGACTCATTGCTAAGTGTTCCTTACGCTGTTACTCTCTTATTTCTCTTTGTATCAGAAAGAGCATAGCCAACAGGGCCAGGGCAGTGATCACTCTGCCGGTACTCAGCATTGGTGATGCCACACCTCAAATCATGTGTTCAGTTCTGGGCCCCTCACTACAAGAAAGACATTGAGGTGCTGGAGCAAGTGCAGAAAAGGGCAATGAAGCTGGTGAAGGGTCTGGAGCACAAGTGTGATGAGGAGCAGCTCAGGGAACTGGGATTGTTTAGTCTGGAGAGAAGGAAGCTCAGGGGAGACCTCACCACCCTCTACAACTACCTCAAAGAAGGCTGTAGTGAGGTGGGTGTTGGTCTCTTCTCCCAAGTAACAAGACAAGAGGCAATCACCTCAAGCTGTGCCAGGAGAGGTTTAGATCTGATATGATGAAAAATGTCTTCACTGAAAGGACTGTGGAGCGCTGAACAGGCTGCCCAGGGAAGTGGTTGAGTTACCATCCCTGGAGGTATGTAAAAAAAGATGTGTAAATGTGGTGCTTAGGAACATGGTTTAGTGGTGGACCCGTCCATGCTGGGTTAATGGTTGGAACTGATGATCTTGAAGGTCTTTCCCAATCTAAACGATTCTATGATTCTTTAAATCATCTTTCCATATAAGTAGTAAGTGAAGTCTCTGAGAAGTAGAACCACAGAGATGCCAATTCACACAAGAACTACCAATAAGCTAGCCAATAAGTTGTCTTCTCAACTGTGCAGCACAAAAGGTCTTATCTCCTCCCTACTTACCAGCAAGGAAAAAAATAAATATTGGGAAGTTTTATGTGAAAGTATAAACATGCGTACCAGCATAATCACATGAGTAGGGTCTACCTACTGATGGATCTCTGATATACTAATGGATTTAATTTTGTATCAAAGATAGGGTTCCTTTGTATATTCTGCTTCCAAATGCCCCATGAAGTCACATTTGAGAAGACTGCCACTAATACTTCTGCATCTGAACCCAAGCTAGAAAGTTACTGGATTTCTTTTAGTCCACAATATTCACAAAATGAGATTCTTTATTTAACACCACATCAATTTATTGAAATCTAAGGAGTCTTTTTGTTTCCAGCTAGTCCTGATTTTCTTTTATTCAAAGTTCCAGTTTTATACAGTGGTGAATAATGCAAAAGATCTGAAGGTAGGTTTCACCTCAAATATCACCTGGAGATAAAGTCACTGCTGTGCTGGTTTGTAAAGAGCACCTTGCAGCCCAGTAAGGAAGGGTACCAGCTTCTCCAACATGTGAATGGCTAAGCAAAAATTTAAGCCCCTTCTTTCTTGCCAAGTGGAAGGTCTGCTAGCCTAGGAAAATACTGCTGGCCTCCTGATTGTATTTTGTGAAGGAACACCAATATCTCACATCATGAAAGTTACCTGCATTAGGAAAATACCTCTTTCATCTTTGATGCTAGCATAGATAAGAACTGCTGACTTATGATTAGGACTTTCCTTAGCAACAGCTGGTTGACCATACACTTTGGACTCACCAATAGGGAAAAACAACAAAAAGACAGATGTGAACTCCTGTAAGGTCAGCAGTGAGGGCAGCTATTCTTGAGAAGGGAATGGGATTTTTGTCAGATCACAAAAATAACGATTAAAGAAGAAACAAACATTACAAGAAGTGGACTTCTGAGTTTTCCCTTAACAGAGATTTCCAAGTCAGAACCAAATTTAAACATACATAGGAAGAAACAGCCTCTGTGTCACCACAGTGATCAAGATCACCCTTCAGGCTAAGCACTTACCTCTTCTGATAACACCAGTGTATATTCTTAACATTTAAATTAAAAGAAAAAGCCTAGAAGCATTTCAGAAAACAAGAGAAACTGGTAAAAAAATCTGCAGAAAAGAACCCTACAATACCCCCGACTGAAGAAGGCTCAAAGATAACGTATTACTTCTTCCTGAGCTAGCAGAGAAAAAGAGTACAAAGCCACACGGAATAGATGCAAAGACCTTAGAATTCTAGTCCCTAATACACCATACCACCTTCAGCAGCAGCAAAGGATAATCACTGTCACTCCAGAAACTCTTATAAATTGTGTTTATTGAACACACATTGCTGCTACAAAAAAAACCCTCAAACAACAAAACCAAAACAATTGCTATTATAATCAGATCAGGTGGAAATTCAGAAAAAAATTCTGTAAACCTCTCTGGACAAAGAAAGGCTTGAGAAGAACACTTCTCTTTTCTAGAGTAAACTGAGCACATGGACTCCAAACTTGAATAAAGTCCACTAAATTTGCAAGAGCAGGAAACTAACCACAAAGCAAAACTTCCAAAGCCTTACAAGAGGCCCCCAAGTACCACCCTGAGGGAATATTGGCAATATTCGAGGACAAAGTATTCACTTGCATAACAAATACAAAACATCTGAATAATGAGCATGCTTCACAAGCTTTGAAACTAAGCAGGAACTCATTAAAGTCGTTCTAAGAGTAGTTTGTACATGGTGGCTAGAGAGTAATTCAAGAAACATTGAAATGACGTTTCAGTAAGCAGCAGTAATGCAAACTGCTTTGGTTGTACTTTGAATGGACATTTGGATAGCTTAAACTCTTAAGTGTTCATGTATCAGAACCAGAAGCTGTACTGCAGAATATCAAGTGGGGGAAAAAAAACCAAACAAACAAAAAAACCCCCCAAAAAACACAAAACAACACAACAAAGAAATAAACCAAAACCAAAATCTAAATGTAGGAGTTGTAAAGCTCAAGAGTTGTTTTCAGAACTCAGTACACATCTAGGCACTTCATTTACACAGATAATACATTCACAAGGTTTTTCTGACTTTTCTGACAGGAAGCAAAACAGGACTGCTGCTTTGTTCATTTGCATACTAATGCCTAGTATGGTTTAAGCTGACAACTGTGTTACATCTATGTTATTGGCCATTCAATTCAGCAAACTAGGAGGGTTACTACCCCTAGAAAGGCCTTTAGAGTTTGCTGTGTTGGCAACCACAAATATATTCCCATCAGAGACAATGACAGACTTTTAATAACATGTGCAAGAAAAATTTCCAAACACTACTTAACCATATTTATACACTAGGGGAAAAGGGTTTACCTTCTCCGCTTTCTGCTACTTGGGGCTGAGGGAAAAGTGCTTGCAAGATTATCTGTATTTCTCACAAAAGTCTTTACAAAGATTTTTCTTCATCTGTGACGTTTCAGAAAAATAAAATTAAAAAAAAAGAAAAAGACACCCAATTACCACTAACTTACAGGAAAAAAACAATATGTATTCTGAAGTAGTACTTTACCCTAATTACTGGGCAAGCTACTTATAAAAAGTTCATTAAAGGGAAGTTTCATTAAAAAAAAACCAAGCCAACCCTCTGTTGAAAACAACAAATAAGAAACTTCAACACAGCAAAGACTAAATAAAATATGTCTGAAAGAGACAAAGTGCAACACATGCAATATTTTTCTTTTGCTTTTAAATTAACTCAAACTTAGCATAACCTCCTTTTGGTGATGTAGTAATGCAGACTGAGTCACTTGTCATGGTATGGAGCAGAAAGCAATGACAGCAGAAAGGCAGGCCTTGCAGTCTATCTGCTTAAAATTCACACCCTTTCACCTTGTATGTGTGTGGAAGAAGAAAGTGGAACAGAAAATCACTTCCACCTGGACCACTGCTTCTCTTTATCTGTTAAAGGCACATATATCACTCCCATCAGAGGCTTCATTTTGACACTGCCATCTTCTAGTTTGTCATACTGTTCGAGCATCTGGTTTCCCCCTGCAGGACCAACTGGCAATATCAATCTTCCGCCAGGTTTTAACTGATCTATAAGCTAGAACACAACACAGAAATTAGAATGTATCCAGCCACTTCAGAGAAGCTGAATTCAAAGTTTGCTACATTAACAGCTTTCCACCATTCATCTATCTACTATTATGCAGGATATAATTATTTCAATTAGGAAAAATAAAACCATGCACTAGAAATGAGAGTATCTCAACAACATAATAGAAACACAATAATTTCATGTAATTACAAAAGAAGGTAAAATAGTAATTAGACTGAGTTGGTTGCAGTTTTAGTTTCTATGTAAGAGGGGAAAAATATGTAAATCCTGAATTATTTTTACAATAGATGCCATTTTTTTAAACTGCTAGTTTTAATGGTTTGATATTTATTGTGCATCAGTACAGGCCCACTGCCCAGCATTTCTGGGGTAACTGAACCCCAACTTGATCCTTGAATCTTTCAGAATAAGATTTGAGATTTGTGACTTGTCTCTAAATTTATCTTCCTGGAATAATCTTAAATTCTTTACAATACACTCACTACCCAACAGCTCCTCTTTCATTCTGTGAATGGAAGAGATTTTACAAAACTAGTCTAAAATATATGAATATGAGTAAGACAAGTAACAAGTAAGAAAGTATGTGAGAAAAATGCATGGGTTAGATCTGCTTTCATAATAACATGAGGCAGCTGATCGCAGTAGTCTCAAGGAAAATTCAGTACTTCCCAGACACCATGGAAAAAAAAAATCTTAAGCCCTGTTACTAACAAAAGCTATAATTAAGAACTGTTGCGTTCACTACTAAGCTTTACATTACCTTTTTAATTGTCACCTGTCAACACTTTGCTGGGAACACCACACCCCCCCCATACCCCAGAAGAAGAAAACCAAACCAACCGCCAGTACCTGGAACTGTCTAACCTGTCTAAAGCACCCCAAACCTCCAGTCCTTCACTATCCCTTTAAAATTCAGTTTTAAGAAAAACTTTACTGGTATCTAGCATATTATGATTATGGTACATATTCCCAGTCACCTGATAAAAGGAAGAGGAAAAAAAGTTTGCAAGAATGGACTTCAAGTATGCACACTCTAAAGTCCCTAGTTACTCTGGTTTCTTTAGGAAGAACTGGCCTGTGACCACTCAGAAAGCTACAAACACATGGCATCGTCTGTATTTCCAGCTGACCATGTTACTTTTCCAACAGGCTCAATACCTTAGAACCCAGGAAACAAATACTTAAATTTTGTAATTCAGTGTTTGATACAAACAAATTATTTTTTGAAATAAAATGCTCCAGTTCATTGTTGTAATGGAGTTGTGCACAAGTAATTTAAAAATCTTTATTTAAAGGAGAGTTATTAGAACACACAGCTTTTGCAAACCAACAGGAAGCCAAATTGTAACAGAAACAACACCCCCCCATCATACAGTAATACCACGCTGCCCACTGACGCTCCCAGCAGTGTAAGTCTACCAAGTATTTTACATGTATACACGTATACATTATACATGTATACACATGTGAAATAGTCTTTACAGCTAAGAGAAATGCAAAACATAAAAAGCTTACTGCTTGGGGCACAACTGGTGCTGCTGCTCCTACATGAATTGCATCATAGGGAGCTTCTTCTGCATATCCCATTCTTCCATCTCCCACTGCAAGAGAACAGTTTTTTAACATTTTCAAAAGGAGTAAACAGCTAATGTCCCATACCTATAAGGCAGATAAAAGCTATCCTCAGATTTCAACTAAAATTCTGCTGAGCAGTAATAACAAGAAGTCAGTTTAAAAACATTAGCACAATTGCAAAATAAATGCAGCAAAACACCCTTGTACATACATATATACACATACCTATAAAAAATATAAAATACTACAGAAATGCCTGAAATTAGAATGTATAGATTTATAACAAAAGTTCTTGGAAATATGTGGTCCACCCAGAAAAGATACTTAAGCATTTATATGCCTTACCATTCCAATACAGGCAACTTCTCCCCTCACTTACCCTCTTAGAACATACGCTTTGCTTTGCCTTGCCTTCACACACAACATTCTTAAATACAAGGCAAATCATAAATCTAAAGCATTAAATCTCAGCAGCACACATCAGAAGATTCCAAAGATGAGAAAAAGACAAAGCAAGTATTCACATAGGCTGTGAACCTATAACTGTACTACCAGTTAGAATGAAACACCACAGCTACATTCATAAATTAATGCAGTAACACACTAATCCCCATGCATCCCCCTTTGTCAGCAGATGGGTCTCACTACCCTTCCTGGACAAACATGGATAGCCACATCAGACACTCATCAGATCAAGCTCCAGGTGGCTGCTTGGAAGTTATTAGGAGTAATTAAGTTATTCAGAGGGCTACCAATGACGCTTCAAGAAGCTCCCTATTACAGATGTCTCATACCATTGCAGTTATGCAGGATGAAAGGGGAACAGATTGGGTTTTTTAAGCCACTGAAACATGGCAAGCTAAACTAGACTCCAAGTGAAGCTTTGAAAGATGATAATGTGAATGTGGCATTCACAGTATTTACAGGAAACCAACAGGAAATTCAGAGCATGTTAGGCAAGCTCTCTCTGGAGTTATTTAGGAACAAAAGAAGTCAGGCTAAACCATTCATAAATTCATACTCAGTGAGTGCTGAAGTCCCACTAATCAGCTAAGATGAAAAAGCAATGAAGCTAACGAACAGAGTCCTCTTGCTCAGCACAAGTTTTTTGGGGTTTCCTGTCTTCAGACTGAACTTTGACTTCCATGCAATCACTATTATCAGAGCATAATCAAAAGGCTGAAGGAGTCAACAGAAGTTCTAAGACCCTGCCAGAGGCTAAAAATTTGTCAACTTCTTGCCTTCCAACAACTCAGAAGGCAGGAAAAAGATACGGTGGCCATATCAGGTTTCATTTTGATCTCAGTGCTAGAGGGCCACCTGAACACTCACAGCATCAAGTACCCAAAAGTGTACAGGAAGTTCTGGACAGCTCCTTTGAACAATTAGAATTGAGAAGCTTGCCACCTTTCATATCAGCTTCTGAAACAAGACCCTTCAAAGACCTCCTACACCCAAAGCTTAAGGATACAGCACATTTTCTCAGTAGCTGGGAAGCCCCTTAAAAACTCAGTGACTTTATTTCCTCACGTCATCACTTCTGACCAGCACAAGTTTGCACCAAGGGCCACAGGCAGAAGCTGCCAAGCAAGAGCTACCAGTGTTTCAAGAGAACTCATGACTATTGATCACCAGTTCCACTAAGTCAACTTTTATTACTGTTGACAGTAGTGAAAGTTCCAGTATTTGCAGGGCTTCATCTCTGACCCTGCCAAAGTGGATTCAAATGGAAGAACCACCCTAATGCAGTCAAGTATATCATTTATATTTGCTTATCTTAGTGGCACTGTTGTCCTGGTTTCAGCCGGAACAGAGTTAATTTTCTTCCTAGTATCTGATGCAGTGCTGTGTTTCAGCTTTAGTCTGACAACAATGCCGATAACACACCAATGTTTTAGTTGTTGCCAAGTAATGCTTACTCTGATCAAGGACTTTTCAGTCTCATGCTTTGCGCCAGCGAGGAGGGGCACAAGAAGCCAGGAAGGAGCAGAGACAGGACACCTGACCTGAACTAGCCAAATGAGTATTTCAAAAGGTTGGTGAGCAAGCAGCTGCATGGTACTTACTTGCCATCTGGGTTTAAACCAGGACAATTGTACACCTCCTCTAAAGAGAAATGGTTTGTTACTGTATCAACTGCTGTCCCATCAGAGAAGGCAATGGGAAAAGACTTCTTAGCTCAACCATACAGATACTGCTTTGAATTGTTAGTTACACAAGGAGACAGACCTTCACTCCCTAACCTGCAGCAGTAGGCACTAGAAGCAGCAATCTCCAATATGAATCTGTTGACAAAAGATTGTTAAATTGTGAAAGAAACTGCTAAGCTGAAAAAGAGCACTTGTATTCTGCGACTCAAACACACCTTGTGTGCTGCCCAAGGAAGTCTCAGTGTGACTTGTGCACATCTCATCACTTCACTGACAGTGGTAAAAGGGACTCAAAACATTTAAAAACCTTTACTCTTAGAATCAGTAGTCCAAACCCTACCATCTTCAGAATCAGCACAAATACCAACAAAAACAAATTCATGCTTCTTTGTATGCACCATGCACATCATGCTCTTCACTTTTAACATCAACAAAAATTTCCTGACTACAGTAGTCAGGTAGATACCCACTCACGATGGGAACACATGTTTAGATATCCAGAAGATTTTATTTCTTTTTTTAATAAAAAAAAAATTAAAAGTTGGCATTTATATATTCAATGTGATACAAATTATTGTATTATTCAATGTCCAAAGGGAAACAGCAGCCTAAATTTTGAGCTTGTGCTTGCATCCTAAGTAACATCCCCTGTCCTACTTAGATCTCTAGTTATATGCCACCTGTTAATGAAGTAATCACAGTGGTGGGTAGTGGGTGGTGATGAGGGGGAAGTAATGTCAGGACAGGACTTTATGACACAAAAGGGGCTTGTAGCTTGTTTTTGAACCCAGACCTGATCTGCTGGTAGTGGTACTCAAGCCTTCAGTGTCTCTATGTGGACTTGTTTTGCATGGAGTTGTATCATCAGCACAGAAACAGAAGAAAAATACTTCACTGTGGTTATAATACTCTCATCCCCTCTGGCTATGTCTGCATCAGCAAACAGTGCAATACAATAGAAGCAGATCTGTCCAGAAAAACAGCTTTTGCTGAGAACCTGATGTCCATGCAACATCGGCATTTCAGAATGACTGACTGCTCTGGTCTAGTTCTAGTCTTACTTGCTTAATATCCGTTAACAAATCACAATATATTTGGTTGCCTTTCAGAGCACATAATCCAGGCTAGTTTAATCCTAAAGAAATCAGAGTTTGTGCTCTCCAAGAGTACTCACCTGTAAGTCAAAGTGTGGTGAGTGAAAGCAGTTGAGATTCACCTTAAAGGCACCCTCCTCATTTTAAGACAAAAAAACCCAAATCAAAGCAAAAACAAACCACACACCAAAACCAGCAAAACACCCCACAAACTAATATAGAGATACCCTAAGTTACTTATTACAAGTTCTCAGTGCTGTTCTATTACTGAGGCACCCCAAAATAGTGTTGTTGCTTTTGAAATGCAGTTACAGTATATGAGAGGTGTGACAAAGCAATGGAGAGTGCCTGAAACATACTTGTGGAAAGCCAGCAACTGACATACCTCCCATCACCAATTAACCCTGGGGTTTTAGTTTTTTTTCTGTGTGTTGGGGAAGGTGTTGTTGTTTTAAAAAACAGCTCTGGATTTTAGCTCCACACCAAAGTACTTCCAGAAATTAAGAACATCAAGGTTTGTTGTAGGTATGATCAGAAGCGTAAGCCCAAATTTCTCTTGTACAGCAACAATGAAAATTATCCCCCTATTTCCCCTCTCCAGCACAACAGACTCAGGATAACTTCCTTAACAAGAAAGTTTAAGGCATAAAGTGTTCTTAGCAAGGGGCACTGCATTATTTTTTTACACGTGTACAAGAACACATGTAGACTGGCTTAATTTGAATAATAAAAAACTTATTCAGAAAAGTCACTCATTTAAAAAAAACAATTACCAAGAAGCAGAAGGTAATTAAGGTAAGAGCCAAACACCACAATCATTATTTTTCCAAACACTCTTGTAAGAAACCTCAAAAATACTCCAGATCTTCAACTTCTTTTTTAAATTTAAAGAATGGAATGATAATGAAGGGAATGCTTCCTCCTGCCAGCTGTGTATCTTTCTTTTCTTAAAAACAAAACAAAAAAAACCCACAAACCCATCCTTTTGTCAAAAGAAGTATTATTTAAAACAATTCACTGTATAATTTTAGAGTTACTGAGAGGAAATAATCCTATTTGAATTACAGTAGTTTGGTGTCATTTAATCACTTCCCTAACATGCAAATACCATTAATTTTTAAAACAAGTGAAAAACTTCAGGGATGCATACTGCCAATTTGGTACTTTTTCCACTCTGCGCGCAGCTTTCTCCATTACTCTTATCAGAAATATACAGGTTTTGTTAAATCAGGCAAATTTAGATGACAGTACATTTATTCAAGCAAAGTTGTGAATTCAAACCCAATTTTAAATAGCAAATTCACATGACAGACCTTCCGCAGGTGAAGTGGAAAGCACTTCCCTGATAAGCTTCTCTAGTAGTATAATTACATAATCTTTCAGATTATCATAGAATCGTAGAATAGTTAGGGTTGGAAAGGACCTTAAGATCACCAAGTTCCAACCCTCAGAAGTCATATTCTCAAAACTGTGTGAAGATTATATTTTTCAAAGGCCTTAAGATGATTTTAATTTAAAATATTCATTTGGCTTTTCTTTCTTCGGCTTAACGTCTTCAACTGAAATTTTTAATCACCTTCAATTCTAGTCATTTTCAACCAGCTGCTAGAAAGAATATCAGTTTAATTAGTAAGTATATCAGTCTGATGCTCACCAATCAGTTTCACTCTTCCTGAAGACAGCAATGTGGGATCATCTTTTTTGACATTATTTATTGAGTCATCTACTAGTTCTTTGATATGATCAATTCCTACAACTTGTCCTTTGGGACCCACCTGGAATAAAAATATACAGTTGAATAATTTCTGCTAGATTTGTTTACAGAATGAGTATTTCTATCACCTGAGCCCATTTCTCCAAAATAAAAACAAAACCAGTAAAGTGGTAAGTATATTTTCCCCAACGTTACTGAAACTACTGCTTGGAATGACACACCCTGACTGCTAGAAGCAACTGGTAATTAGAATTTGCCAGTACAGTCTTATAAATGCTTGTAATAGTCATATTTTTTTTGAGACATAATTCAATTAAGTTACATTATTAGTGGAGATCTCTTCTTTCAATTTTACAAGTCAGATTAGATCATGAGTGTTTGCACTACCTGCAACAGAAAGTAACAACTTCAAGGACAAAGACTAGAACTAATCTTCTTTCATGTTGAATAAACATACTTAAAGATTAAGGTTTTTTTAGAGAAGACCTTACTTCAAGGAAAATAGAAAGTCATGCATCTTTTTCCAAGTTCTCAAGAGCCCTATCCTTTCAGGAGCAAATGCACTAATTAATAGTCAGGGACAAATTACCTTCCATCTACCATTGCATTCACTAATCTACTTTGAGATTTACAGCTCTCTTCCACAGGAAGAATGGAACTTTTGAGAGCTCATAACTCACAGAAGGTCATAAAAGATCTGTGTAGTCAGTCTGAAGGGAGAAAAAGGTCTACTAGCAAAACTACTACAGGCATTTCTTCTGCAATTGTGTCTTAATTCTAGAAAAAAAAATATCCAATTTCGGGGAGAGGAGAAAGAATCCAAATCTTAAAATCTGATCATTTTGAAGAGGATCCAGCTCAAATAACACAATGGCAGAGTATGTCCTAGCAGTCCATGTTGTCATATAAAACTTTGCCTTTGGTCATATTTGAACCCGTTGGTTACACTTCTGTATCTTATATTTCTATGTTGCCAAGACATGGAAAATTAATAGCTTGTTATTGATACCATGGGGATTTTTCTGTTTCATTATGAAAAAGTGCTATGGTAGGGTTAAAAAAAAGAAAAAAGAAAAAAGGAGAGAGAGGAGTGTTAACTCTTCTTTTTCAAGTAGAAGCCCATCAGCCTAGCCTTTGAAACAGAGCAAGACACGTGGCAAGTTTTTACCATGGCAACTACAGGTTGCCATCTGGAGGAATGCCTGGCAGTCAGCTGTACCAGAAGCTAACAAAAGATAACATCACAGAAATTCCCATTTAGCAAGATAATGATAGCACAAGAACCTCCTGCTGCATGTCAGTCCAGTAAGATATTTCTAAAGCCTCAATCTGTCTATTGCCTGGAACCTTGAAATGTGTGCAGTTGAAACAACAGCAAAATGGCACAATTTTGGGGATCTCTGTGGTTTGTTAAAATTAAATATATACCCCACTTTTTATAATTCCAGTACTTACAGGATGAAAACTACAATTACTTTATTTGCCAGCAAACTTTAAAAGCATATAAACTTAAAATTGCATGCTATATAGTTAAGTTCATCACAGCAGTTTAACATCAAAACCCAAACAAAAAAATCTTAAAGATGCTTTACTAGCTTAAGTAAACATAAAGCTTTCCCAAGACTACCACCAGTGAGATTATCATCACAGGAGCAAAGCTGTTATGACATCAATGTGCACTTAGGTACTTGTGCTACAAATGCAAGCTTTTCATTGAGATCTCAAGTAGACAGAAAAGCAACATCCACATGATCCAGTAAGCACATACCCAAATGAATTTTGATAGGAACACACTTTGCCATCATTCCCTGTAATATACATCTCTCAAACTTTTGTTACAGTTTAAAAGAACTTTACAGAAAAAGTCAGAGCAGTACATCTTGTCTTATCTATATTCATTCAAGTGGATGAAGCAAGACCCATAGTGCATAGTACTGCTATCAAACAGAACAAAGGCATTTATCCAGTTTCACAAAACACATGCTCATAAGGCTTTCCACAGCATACCACTAAGAATTCAGAAGAGGAATGTGACATTCATATGGCAATAGAAGAATAGCATGATTAATGTCAGCAAAATTGGGAAGCAATTTCCTTTTTATGGTAATTCTGACTTCTTGCCATGTTTTCAGCTTTTCATATGTAGCTGTTTTAAAAGAAGAAAGTGCACACCAGAACTTATCATGTCTTATCAAAAATGGCTATTCCCCATGAGTAACTGTAGTGAGAAATACACCTAACCATGACAAAAAATTTTAATACTTGCAGGATTGGAGCTTCCATGCTTACTACTGGCACTTGATTGTTTACTACAAAGTTACAAGAAAAACAGTAGGCACTGAGTTAAATAAGTGACATTTAAGATTTCCTCTAAACTGCAGTTTGATTAACTTATTTCAACTACAAATTTATTTTTTCTTTTTTTTTTTAGATTTTGCAGCTAGCACTTAAAAAAACTAAATACTTTTGCTACTTCATTGCCCAGTCCTACACATTCTTTACAAACAGAACTCAACAGATCAGCTGCTTGAAAACAGAAAACTGAGTAGCAAAAAACCCCATATGTGAATTTATCATCTCATCACCATGTTCTAAATTAACCTCTCAGAAAGATAAAAAGAAAAAAAAAATCTAGTTGGCAGTTTAATAAAGGTGTCTGCTAGTTATAAAGCAATGAGACAGGCCTGGAATGGAGAAGGAAGAACTGACTATAGTCTACTACATAAATTAGTCTAACAGTACTGTAGTTATAACCAGCACAATGTTTTTCATCTCTTTTCCTGATGCAACATAGAGTGGAACCACAGAAAATTCCTTACATACAGGTGGAACAACCCAGAGATTAAGTTTCTTAGAGAAGGTGTCGGGGAAAAAAAAAAATAAATAAAACCAACCAAACAAATTAATATCTAACTTAGAACAAATTAAATGGATACTTATAGTGATGCTCACACAATATAGAAAGGAGGAAAAAAAAGTTAAATTCAGGGACAATTTATATACATACAATATACTTTCCTCTAGAAATAGGATTCTTTTAAGTCTCACTAAGCCCTCGTAGCAGGAAGACACGACAATAGATCACAATGAGAAAATTCACGGCACACAAGATAATGTAAAAATTGAGCTGGACAAGCAAAATATCATCTTCCTTCAAGATATAAAGCAATTACTAAAATACAAGAAAGAAATAAACCCTTCCCCTCTAAACAGTTTCTTCACCATCACATGATTTGCCAGATCTTTAACTCAACCATCTAGTATCAGCTAGGCTAAGAAATAGGTACTAATCGCATCCAGAAGAGTAAACTATCTTCTGCATAACATGCATCAGTCCACTGTACAAAGAACGCTTTCTTCCCCTCCCCTTCAATTCAGAGTTATGCTGCAGTTCAAGCAGTTCTGATGGTTCAGTGATTAAACTAAATATCTCACCATTCGTGAGAAGCATGCTGTAAGGATTCCACTTCCAGATCCTACATCAAGTGCTTTGGCTCCTTCATGTAACTGATCAGACAGAAGTTCAAGAGCATATGCATGCTAAAAGAAGAAAGAGACAGAAAATTTCAATATATTTCAAGTATCTGTTCTACCCAATATATGTTAATTTCTTCAGTGACTTGGACCAATGCACTGAAGATTCATGCAAGATATTTCAGAATTACTTTCTATTACAAAAAAAGTGAAGGGTGGCAGGAGTTAACTATATGATATAATCATTATTATTTCATTGACTTCAAATTGTGCATGTATGTATATTAAAACTACCTCTTGTATTACCTGCATACTTGCTGAATCAAACAGTAGGAAAAAGTTTCTTTACAGCAGCAGATAGCCAGGCTCTTACATGAAATGCAGTAGTTTACAGACACACTTCATGAGTTTTGCTTTCCTACAGGGTGGACCACTACACAAACTAAGCTTAGGTCACACACTCAAACACCAATTTGTTCTTTAGTGTTTCAGAGATAGCCATAACCACACTCTTACAGCTTAATCCATCACACCCAGAAAACAAGTAATTAGAACATTTATTGTTAGAACATTTATTGTCAACATTTGCTTAGAGGATACATTTCGTTTTTGCTCTAACATTTCATATACTACTAGTGCTAAGTAAAGGAGAATTCAAAGGCTATGACTTACACGAATTAAAATTCTGAAAACATAATTAATACTTATTTTATCCCTTAGCCACAGTACCTTCTTTCTCTGTCTTTTCTTGATTAAAATCCTAACATTTCTATACAAAATTCCTGATTTTTTTTATATTGGTAACTAAGTAAATTCTAACCCAACTAGGTAGTTGTCAAGAGAAGCAGACTTTTACTTTGTTTTGCCACTTCTCAAACACTGCAAGGAGAAAATGCATACCAGAGAATCACAGAATGGTTTGGGTTGGAAGGGACCTTAAAGCTCATCTAGTTCCAGCTCCCCTGCCATTTTTTTTCCTCCTGTCTAAAGAATTAAAAGCATTACAGCAATACCAGACCATAGAAATCACTGTTATCCACTCTGAATTTTTACACTTTTATAAATTACAGAGTAATTAAGGTTGGAAAGGTTCTCTCAAAATCCCATGGTTCAACCCTCTTTCAACATATGGGCAATTTATATTAGGGTGCTTAGAGCCCTGTCCAGTCAGCTTCTTTGTATAACACAGAATAGTTTTCACAATCTGTGAAACCTGTTCCAGTGCTTAACTACCCTCAATGGGAATTGTTTTTTACCCTAGAAACTAATCAGAATGGTCCATGTTTCTTTTTTATTGTCCACTACCCCTCGTCTTATCATTGTGCACCTCCAAGGAAAGTCTAGCTTGATCTTCTCTGTGCCTTCCCAGTAGGCAGTCCACAACAACATCACTGCAATCAACTGCTCATTAAATTTGCTAGGATAAATATTTAATTTCAGAAGCATTTTGATGTTTATAAAATCACCTATATTAATCAGGTTAGTTTAAAGCTTACCATATGTGGAGCACTGATTGTTGCTTGGAAACCTGCAAAGCAAGAGAATGAAAGAACATGTTGACCATTGTTCAGACCAACACAATCTTTATTACCTTGACTACACAATGCAATGCTTTAATTGTCACTCTCATTCAGAGGACCACACACAAACCCCTGAACAGTTACACTGGTGCTCCAGAAGTGAGTTAAGGTACATTATCTCAAAGCTATGCCATGTCAACTGTGGACAGAAAAAAAACAAGGGTTCTGCCCTGGACCTCAGTTTGAATCTCCATTTCATCACTATATTGCCTTAGCTTGATCAAGCATGTTGAATTAAAAGAGTAATGAGCCCCAGAATAACGTAATGCCTTTTCCCCTTAGGCCCTATGTAAAAGCCTGAACTTGTCAGTTGAGTTTTATGTGGTGGGGACCATATTGTCTCCAACTTCTGGAGACAATAACCTGCCATCTATCTTGCAAACAGCACACATCTATGAGAACACATGGAAGAACACTCACCTATATTTTTCCTGTGAAGCACACATACAAATACATACTCAAAAGCTTATGCATCTTTAAAAATTCTTGAATTTTCCTATACAACTATTAAAATCCTAATATAATTCATGGTTCTCACCACTCACTATTAGGGCGGGGTGTCAAAAAAAAAAAAAAAGGAATATATTCACTTAATTCATTCTGCTGGCTTGGAAAGATAAAACTGGGATCTGGATGGGAAACAACAACTGTCTTATAAAGAGATTGTCCCATTTAAAGCCTATGTTCATTTTAAAACTTAAGTCTCATGTAAAGGCTTAAGGAACTCTGCATTGATCTCAAATGAATCATTTATGTAAAGAGAAACTGTTTCTGACATAAACTGGATACAAATGATTTTTAAGTAATTAAAAATTATCTGCACCATCACAAGTTCTGTGGTTTAAAAAAATACATATTTATACCTATTAATATTAACTATAAAATGTTTATCCTGATGTATACAGGCATGTTTTAAAAATAAAAAAAAACACAAACAACTTTGCTCCATAACAAACAGAAACTTAGTTAAAAGGTATTGAATAAAGAACTACAGAAGCTTCCAAATTTAAAATAGTATGTTCACATTCTTAACGCATATATGACAAAGGCAGTCACAGTAATGCAAATTGGAGCAATCTCAATCATTTTTACAAGATGCTCTTACCTATAGACTGTGGAGAATCCATATAAGGGTTGTATTTTGCGTAGTGGCAACGGTCTGTAGCCAGCATCACTTCAAATACCTTGTCTGATTTGATGATCCCATTTTCTATAAAATACAAATAAATAAATAAAACTGAAGGCATTGCCTCTCTACTGCAACGCAAGACCTTGTGAAATACATTAATAAATTCCTAATATTGTGAAAAATCATGCAACCTTCCTTACCCTCTCTAATACTCTAACCCTCATCATCACAGTATCACGGTATCACAGTATGTTAGAGATTGGAAGGGACCTCAAAAGATCATCTAGTCCAATCCCCCTGCCGGAGCAGGAACACTTACATAAGGTTACACAGGAATATGTCCAGGCGGGTTTTGAATGTCTCCAGAGAAGGAGACTCCACAATCTCCCTGGGCAGCCTGTTCCAGTGTTCTGTCACCCTCACTGAGAAGTTTCTTCTCAAGTTTAAGTGGAACCTCTTGTGTTCCAGTTTGTACCCATTGCCCCTTGTCCTATCATTGTTTGCCACTGAGAAGAGCCTGGCTCCATCCTCGTGACACTCCCCCTTTATATATTTATATACACTAATAAGGTCACCCCTCAATCTCCTCCAAACTATAGGGACCCAGCTCCCTCAGTCTTTCTTCATAAGGGAGATGCTCCACTCCCTTAATCATCTTAGTTGCCCTGCGCTGGACTCTCTCCAGCAGGTCCCTGTCCTTTTTAAACTGAGGGGCCCAGAACTGGACACAGTATTCCAGATGAGGTCTCACCAGGACAGAGTAGAGGGGAAGGAGGACCTCTCTCGACCTACTAACCACCCCTCTTCTAATACACCCCAGGATGCCATTGGCCTTCTTGGCCACAAGGGCACAGTGTCGGCTCATGGTCACTCTGTCAATCACCAGGACCCCCAGGTCCCTCTCCCCTACACTGCTCTCTAACAGGTCGTTCCCCAACCTATACCGGAACCCGGGGTTGTTCCTGCCCAGATGCAGGACTCTACACTTTCCCTTGTTATATTTCATCAAGTTATTCCCCACCCAACTCTCCAGCCTGTCCAGGTCTCTCTGGATGGCAGCACAGCCTTCTGGCGTGTCGGCCACCCCTCCCAGCTTAGTGTCATCAGCAAACTTGCTGATAGTACACTCAATTCCCTCATCTAAATCATTGATGAATATATTAAATAATATTGGTCCCAGTACCGACCCTTGAGGCACTCCACTAGATACAGGCCTCCAACTAGACTCCGCCCCATAGACTACAACTCTCTGGCTTCTCTCCTTCAGCCAGTTCACAGCCCACCTCACTACCCGATCATCCAGACCACACTTCCTCAATTTAGCCGCAAGGATGCTGTGGGAGACCGTGTCAAACGCTTTGCTGAAGTCGAGGTAGACCACATCCACCGCTCTGCCATCATCCATCCACCGTGTTATTTCCTCATAAAAGGCTATGAGATTGGTCAAGCATGACTTCCCCTTGGTGAAGCCATGTTGACTGCCCCTCATAACCCTCTTATCCTTGATATGCCTTAAGATGGCACCAAGGATAAGGTGTTCCATCACTTTCCCAGGAATGGAGGTGAGGCTGACTGGTCTATAGTTACCTGGGTCCTCCTTCTTGCCCTTTTTGAAGACGGGAGTGACATTTGCTTTCCTCCAGTCCTCAGGCACCTCTCCCGTTTCCCAAGACTTGGTATAGATGATGGAGAGCGGTCTAGCAATGATCTCAGCCAGTTCCCTCAGCACCCGTGGGTGCATCCCATCTGGACCCATGGATTTATGGATGTCCAGATTGCTCAACTGGTCTCTAACCCATTCCTCATCGACTAAGGCAAACTGTTCCGTTGATCTGTCTTCATCTGAGGTCTCAGCGGTACAGGGCTCTTCAGGACTGCCTCCGGCAGAGTAGACAGAGACAAAGAAGGCATTCAGTAACTCTGCCATCTCTGTATCTTCTGTCACCAGGGCACCCGTCCCGTTCATCAGCGGGCCTACATTGCCTCTGGTGTTAGTTTTATCTGCCATGTATTTGAAAAAGCTCTTTCTGCTGTCCTTGACCCTTCTCGCCAGCTTTAATTCCAAGGAGGCCTTAGTCATCCTAGCTGCTTTCCTACATCCTCTAGCAGCAGCCTTATATTCCTCCCAAGTGGCCAGCCCTTCCTTCCATGACCTGTAAACTCTTCTCTTCCACTTCAGCATACCCAGCAATTCCCTATTTAGCCACGCAGGTCTCCTGACCCTCTTCCTTGACTTCCTACGTGTCGGGATGCTCTGATCTTGAGCTCGGAAAAAGCAGTCCTTGAACGTCAACCAACTACCTTGGGCCCCTTTCCCTTCAAGCAGCCTAGCCCATGGGATTTCCCCTAGCAATTGCTTGAAGAGGCCAAAGTTTGCCCTGCTAGAGTCCAGGGTTGCAATTCTACTTGCTATTCTATTGGCCCTACCACACAAGATCCTGAATTCCACCACCTCGTGGTCGCTGCAACCAAGGCAGCCCTCAACCTTCACTGCTTCGACCAGACCCTCCTTGGTAGTGAGGATGAGATCCAGCAGTGCTCCTCTCCTGGTTGGCTCATCCACCATTTGCATGAGGAAGTTATCATCCATACACTGGAGGAACCTCCTGGACTGCGGCTGGGTTGCCGAGTAGTCCTTCCAGCAAATATCAGGGAAGTTAAAATCCCCCATGACGACCACGGCCTGTGACTGTGAGGCCGCTGTCAGCTGCCTGTAGAAGGCCTCATCAACTTCCTCACCCTGATCCGGTGGCCTGTAACAGACCCCCACAACAGTATCGCCCCTGCCATCCTGCCCCTGAATTCTCACCCACAGACTCTCAACTCGCTCATCATCTGTCCCCGGACCGAACTCAACGCATTGTAGCTGCTCTCGCACATAAAGAGCAACCCCACCACCCCGCCTGGCTGGCCTGTCTTTCCTGAAAAGGACATAGCCCTCCATGACTATATTCCAGTCATGTGAGCTGTCCCACCACGTCTCTGTAATTGCCACCAGGTCATAATCTCCTGACTTAACACAGGTTTCTAGCTCCTCCTGCTTATTTCCCATACTGCGCGCATTGGTGTACAGACATTTCAGGGAGCGAGCCGAGCACACCGATTTCACCCTAGGATTACAGGAGGCCTCCCAGTCTTCATCAATTCTGGAGCGCTGTCCCACTGAGGCAAGCCCAGCTACAACCCCATCCCCCTTCGAATCTAGTTTAAAGCTCTCCAAATGAGCCCTGTTAATTCCTGCCCCAGCATCCTTTTGCCTCTGTGCGATAAACCTTTCCCACATCCCATTGTCCAGACTGGTGCCCTATAAAACCAGCTGTTATCAAAGAATCCAAAGCCCTGCCTGCAGCACCAGCCTCGAAGCCAATCGTTTATGGACTGAATTTTCCAATTCAGTCCCACATCATCAACAGAAGATGGAAGGTTGAAGAGAAGATCACTTGAGCTCCAGAGTCTTTCACCATCCGCCCCAAGGCCCTGTAGTCTTTCTTCATCCCCCTCAGACTGCGGGAAGCAGCTTCCCCCTCACCCGTCTGGAAGACCAGCAGCAGGTAGTAGTCTGTCGGGTGCACCAGGTTGGGGAGCGCCCTGGTGATATCCCTGATCCGGGCTCCAGGCAGACTACACACTTCCCTATGATGAGGGTCAACTCTGCATATCGGGCCCTCTGTTCCTTTCAGAATGGAATCACCTACTACAATGACCCTTCTTTCTTTCTTATCAGAGGCAGTCTTGAGGTGTGAAGTCGACCGCTTTTTCCTATGTGGCCTTGTAGGTGGGCCTTGCACCACATCCTCACCTACCTCTCCTTCCAGATCCAGGGCCTCAAACCTATTACGGAGGGTCACCTGGCGAAGCGGGGCAGGAAGGGAGGAGGGCTGCCCACGACACCGAATCGGAACTCGCTTCCAACCCTCATCATCTTTTTGGTCCCCTACCTCTGGGCGACAGCTACATGACAGGGGCTGTCTCAGGCCATCCCCCTCTGTCTGAGAGGGCAGGGGGTCCATCCCCTTTTGGGGGGTATCTCCCTGGAGCCGTTCCAACTGGCCAGCCAGGGAGTCACTCCACCAGTCGATCTCCCTTTCACACTCCCTGATGCTCCTCAGCGTCTCAACCTCCTCCTTAAGTTTAGCCACCAAGCTAAGCATATCTTCTACCTGCTCACACCTCACACAGGTGGAATAATGCTGTCCTCCCTCCCCCGGCAGTAGCAGGCTCTGGCACTCCCTGCATCCAGAGACCTGAACAGCCACGGTTAGGGTCGGGGTCTCTCTCTGAGTTGCTACAGTCCTCTTACTGCTAGCTCTCTTTCTGGAGACGACCATATTGGTCAGCACAACGACCTACCTGTTCTTCCCTGGGCCTGGTGGGCAGCGACGTGTCCCTGCCCTCTCAAAGGCTCTTTCAAGTCAAGGGGCAGGGGGGTGGTAGCCGTCACCGTGGGAACGCCCCCCGCCACGTCAGCTGCTCTCTCGCAAGGGCTGCTTGGACATCGGTAATCAGGAAATGTCGGGAATCGCGGTGCCTCTCCGCTATCCCCTCTGATTTTCCTAATTTCGGTAGAACCTCAATATGGCTGTAGCGTGCCGGCTGCGGCTCTAGCTGGGCTAGCTCCAATCAGCTGACTGAATGCGAGTAGCGAGTTTCAGCCGAATTTAAATCTCCCGCGTCACCGTGGGAACGCCCCCCCTGCCACGTCAGCCGCTCTCTCGCAAGGGCTGCTGGGACTTCGGGAATCAGGAAACATCAGAGTTTAACCTGTTGTTCACAGCTCAAATATTGCTTAAGCCAGTGAACTTCAAACAAGACTGTCCCAGTGGTTAGAGATGCTCTCTGAAACAACAGAGACCATTTTCAAAGATTTATCTATCCCCTAGAAAAACTCGACTTCATGCACACCTACTGACATAAGTCAGTAAGAATCTGATACTACTCTATACACCAAACAAAATATACTTCAGGTTTCTAAGCAGCTATATGTGACTCATTATCAAAACATATACAAAAACAGGTTAGAAATGTGAAGATGCAGTATCATCGCTCAGTATTTTATTTTCAAGATCTTTTTTGAGTTAGCA